TGAGGAAGACCACGAAGGGTTCTCTAGATGTTTGTGCACAATTAATTTTCTTTTCTCAAGTTCCATGATCCGTAATTTCGGGATGCGTGGATCAATCGAGAAAAACTTTTCCCGAATTTCTTCGTCAATAAAACACCAACAAATGCCTGTCAAACGTTTTTTTGTTCCAACCACCAGGGGCGCGGTGGTGTATTAAATCGTGCGTCCAGCTTTACTTTGAATCGAGCTTTATTAAGATTAGTATGTGATTCGTGTCTCCAGCGGGATGCATTGGTCCCCAAGAGCTGACTACTAAATTGACCTGAAAAAGAACTGGCATCACTGATAAGTTAGAAATGTGGTGACTTGCTTAATGCTTCAGTGGCGCCACCATGACAAATGCGAGAACATTCCCAACTAAAACCTTATTTGCGAAGAATATGATTATGAGTGTTATGTCTGTTTGTCTGTGGTGTCACTTATCGACACTGTTTAGACATTTCGTTAAGATTTCCCATGGAACAATACAATGGAACAATAGTTTTAATCCTTTGAAATCTGGAATGCCTTCTGGCATATTTTTGTTATTATATAACCCTGATGTTATCTTGGTATTATTCTATGAGTTCTATTGAAGTTCCCGTGGATTTCTTCTTTGTTAGAATTCCTTTGGAGTTTCCACGGAAATACTTTAGAAGTTAAATTCGAATACTTTTAGAAATAGATTTCTATCTATAATTTCCTACGCCGAGATTCCAACAGCCGAGCAGTTCTGCAATTTATTTTGCTGAGATTCAGTGAAACAATTGCCGAGACTCAGCTAACAAATAACATTTTGCTGAGATATCAGCTAACAAACAGATATTTTCAGAGATATCCGCAAAAGTAAATGCCGAGGTAATCGGCTGTTGGAGATTTTACCGAGCTAGATTAAGTGTGTACACACTTAAATTTTTTCGCCGAGATTCCAACAGCCGAGTAGTTCTGCAATTTATTTTGCTGAGATTCAGTAAAACAAGATGGCACACAAGATCTTTGAAGATGATCCATTTATCATTTAGACTGAATGTATGAGGCTTTTGAAGTTGCTAATCTATGCTAATTTTTTAGATATGAATTTGCCTCAAATGGTTTTTAAAGTTAATGAGGGAGCCATACTACACTAGTTTTAATCCTCTGAAATCTTCTTGGTGATCAAATGGAATTTCTCCAGTAATTTATTTTAAAATTCCATCTTTAATTCCCTTGCTTTTTCTCCTGGCAATGCCTTGGAATTTATCGTGGTCTTTCCTGGAGTGCCTTATGGCATTTTTTTTTTATTTATAAGGGATGTTATCTTGGTATTAAAGGTTGAACACGAACAAATCCATGGGGGGCTGGGCTGGTACGCAACACCTTCCGTTCGAAAACACCAAGGGCGCGTTAATCCTCCACGAGCATAGCCCAGGTCTCGTGGCCGTAGAGGAACACCGGTCTAATCAGCATCTTGCAGACAGTCAACTTCGTGCGGCGGCGAATTTTATTCGACCGGAGCGTCCTCCGGAGTCCAAAGTAGGCACGATTCCCTGCCATAATGCGTCTTTGAATTTCTCTGCTGGTATCATTTTCGGCGGTCACCAGTGAGCCCAAATACACGAACTCATCGACCACCTCGATTTCGTCACCGTCAATCTGAACTCGGGGTGGGAGGCTAACATTGCCTTCCCTAGAACCTCTTCCTTTCATGTATTTTGTTTTTGATGCGTTGATGGCAAGTTCAATCCGCCTAGCTTCAGCCTTCAGTCTGATGTACGTATCCGCCATCGTCTCAGAGTTCCGTGTCATGACGTCAATGTCATCGGCGAAGCCAAGAAGCTGGATGGACTTCCTGAAGATCGTGCCACTCGTGTCTATCCCAGCTCTTCTGATCATACCTTCTAACGCGATGTTGAATAAGCAGACACGAAAGTCCATCACCTTGCCGTAACCCCCTTCGAGATTCAAAGGGACTCGAGAGTGTCTCCGATATTCGAACAACGCACATCACTCGATCCATCGTCGCCTTGACCAATCGCGTCAGTTTATCCGGAAATCCGTACTCGTGCATAATCTGCCATAGCTGATCTCGATCGATTGTGTCGTATGCGGATTTGAAATCGATGAACAAATGATGTGTGGGCACGTTGTATTCGCGGCATTTCTGCAGAACCTGCCGAATCGCGAAAATTTGGTCCGTGGTAGCGCGGGCACCCATAAATCCCGCTTGGTATTGCCCCACGAACTCTCTTGCAAATGGTGACAGACGGCGGCATAGAATTTAAGAGAGTACCTCAACAGTGTGATCGCGCGGCAGTTGCAGCAATCCAACTTGTCGCCCTTTTTGTAGATTGGGCATACGACACCTTCCATCCACTCCTCCGGTAATATCTCCTCCTCCCACTTCTTGGCAATTACCCAGTGCAGCGCTCTAGCCAGTGCTTTACCACCGTATTTTAATAGCCCGCTTGGAAGTTGATCTACACCAGTTGCTTTGTTGTTCTTCAGCCGAACGATCTCCTCCTCAACTTCTTGAAGATCAGGGGCCGGTAGCCTGTCGTCTTCTGCGCGTGCTCCAAGGTATGTTGCCGTGCCACCTTCGTTTTGTGCTGCTTCACCGTTGAGGTGCTCGCCATAGTACTGCTTCCACCTCTCAATCACCTCACACTCGTTCGTGAGAAGGTTACCGCCCAAGTCCTTGCACATATTGGCTTGCGGCACGTAGCCTTTGCGCGAACTATTTAGCTTCCCGTAGAACTTCCGTGTGTCGTTTACGCGGTACAGATTTTCCATCGCCTCGCGATCTCGGTCTTAATGCTGACGCTTCTTCCTTCGGAAAACTGAGTTTTGTCTGTTCCGCGCTTGTCTGTATCGCTCCACATTCAATCTCGTGCGGTGTTGCAGCATTCTCGCCCGTGCTGCATTCTTCTCTTCTACTAACAGTTTGCATTCGCCGTCAAAACAGCCCTTTCTTCGGTCCGGGATTGCAGTACCTAGTTCCGCTGCAGCAGTACTACCTATGGCCGAACGGATAAGAGAAGCTGCGCCAAACTGCTCTTCCGTGGGTAGTGCAACTTCTAGCTGCTGCGCGTAGTCCTGGGCAACTCCGGCGTCCCGTAGTTGCTCAATGTTGGGTCGCGGCGTTCGACTTCGACGGGTGTTATGCACCGTCAAGAGTTTAAAGCGCATGCATACTGCAACTAGGTAGTGGTCCGAATCTATGTTCGCACTGCGGTACGTGCGGACGTTGATAATGTCGGAGAAGAATTTCCCGTCTATTAGAACGTGATCGATTTGGTTTTCTGTGTGTTGGTCAGGTGATCTCCAGGTGGCTTTGTGGATATCCTTGCGGGGGAAAAAGGTACTTCGAACTACCATACCCCGAGAGGCTGCAAAGTTCACGCATCGTTGGCCGTTGTCGTTCGATACGGCATGCACGTTGTTTGGCCGATAACCGGTCTATACATTGCCTCCCGTCCTACCTGTGCGTTCATGTCGCCGATGACGATTTTGACGTCCCGTTGCGAACAGTCGTCGGGTCTCCCTTCGTGTGGGCAGTGCACGTTGATGATGCTGTAGTTGAAGAAACGGCCCTTAATCCTCAACTTGCACATCCTCGCGTTGATCGGCTGCCAACCAATCACGCGTCGGCGCATCTTACCCAGCACTACAAAGCCGGTTCCCAGCTCGTTGGTGGTGCCACAGCTCTGGTAGAAAGTAGCTGCTAGATGCCCGCTTTTCCATACCTTTTGTCCCGTCCAGCAAAGTTCCTGCAGTGTTACGACTTCAAAGTTACGTGGTTGAAGTTCGTCATAGATTAGCCTATCGCAGCCTGGGGTATGTCAGTACGTACATATCTTGAAAATGTTATCAAGCACGGGATTTAGAAAAGGATAAGTCAACACAGGATTTTATCATTATTATTCATCTGCCAAATTTTTTAAAAGTTCCAAAACAAAGGAAACTTCTGTATTACATGTGAAAGATGTCAAATTTACACAATACTTAGTCATCACCATTAATCCATATTATCCATGCCCTCTGAATCACTTTTCTTAATCCAACCATTTATTCAATGTTTGTAGGCCTTTTTATTTATTACTTTAGTATACCAAGAAAACAATCGTTTCTAATTTGGAATTTATGTATAATTTTCACCCATAATCCGCACAAACCCTCTCTTTTTATGAAGATAAACCTACAACTTTGGATGTATTAATAGTAAAAAAAAATCGTTTGATATGCCCCTTGATCTTGAAAAGAGTGAAACTCGAAGAGTTTTCGTAAATTGCATAAATATCGATTAACAAAACCAGAATCACTCAAACACAACCGATACAACACAACAACAGAACAGCCAACAACCAAAACACACCACAACCGTACGTACATATCGCTTCAAGTAGTGGGATTGCTATTCTAGCGTTTAGTTTCGAATTAGTGTTCCTGACAATCATTCCTCTAACTCTGCACCCTTCACCAGAAGCAATATCACCATTGCAAAGTAAGCAATCTTTCGCAACTCTTCTTCTCTAACAAAAAAAAAAGAATGCTGATAAAACGAAGCGCATCACGCGGCGTTCTTGCACAAAGTTCTTCTGCTATGGGTAAGCTTTTTCTCTTTCTATTTTTCTATTTTACACTAAATATAATCACTATGCTACCAACTTAGTTAAGTTTACAAAATTTTAAATGATAGTTGTTGATAAAATATTAATTTAAGCAAACAAAATTCGTACAATCAAATAAACGCGCAGTAGGATCTAAGGCAGCTTCATAAACAAAATTATGTAACGTTTCTCAATGTGAGTCAAGTGTTGAATGAGATATCGTATGTAATGAATACCCGTGTGGCATAGCTAGATGTTATTCGAAACCAGTCTAAATATTGCAACAATTGGCGTGATAGGTGTAAGCCCCATCGGAGACGGAAAACGACGGTACTAATTGAATGTTTCTATGTGTTTTCTTCTATTCCTTTACCCCTTGTATCGAACGAAAAACAGTGTGCCCAAGGTCGTGCCGCATGGCTGGAACGCGGTAGACGATGCAGCGTGCAAGAAACACCCGCCTCCTGCCATCGACGATGGGTCAAACGTAATCGGGTAAGACGGTTGCTGCGATTAAATGGACCGTTTAGCCGTTTGTCGTCAACATTTGAAGCGTTTGCATTTCTCTTCCAGATACAAGACTCATCCGTTGGTGGCTCCTCGGACGATGAAGACTTACTCGGTGTGCTGAGAGGCCCCAGTTCATTCGCCAATGCCTTCCTTTACGTAGGTTTAGGTACGATAGCAATTGGATTAGTTATAGCGTTCGTCGGTACCGGCGAGAAAGGATTCAAAACGGTTGAACTAAGACTAATCGGACCATCGTTAATCGGTAAGGACGGGGCTACTTAATAACTAATAAGAAGTTGTTGACTTAACCCAAAAAAATCGTCTTGTCTCGTTCCGGTTTAGGTCTCGGCTTATTTTGTTGTATATTGCGTATCCTGTTTTGTATATGTCCGTCACACTGTTTCTCATCTAGTCGTAGAGCGCGAAATAAGAAGAACGCTAAAATAGACGCCGATCACCGGACTTCCCTGTTGCGTGGCGACAGCAAACGAGTATCGATAGCACGCGGACCTCACATACCGGTATGTACCCTGGTTGAAATACCGACTGACCATGCCGAGCCATGATGGCAGCTCTGCAATTCGAAAACCATCAAGGACGTCGACTTGGTCGCACATCCTTACTACTATATGAACTCCCACCATATTGACCCTCAAAACTTGTTTCATTCCAAGACTAAACAGCCACAAATCTACCCCAAGTCGATAGTGAAAACCAAGACGTACGAGGGCGTGGAAGCACTTCGGCAGATAGCGACCACTTCATTGTTTCTACAGAACGAGCAGAAAGTTTCATCCAATCGCATCGTCCCAATCATCAAGGAACCGGAAAAAGTAGAAGGTAACTGCATCGTACCTCCATACGAACCTATACTTACAACCGATTCCCCTTTCCAACCTCCCCCAGAACCACCTTTAGAGCTAAAGAAAATCGACCCCCTCAGGGCTGATACGCTTAGTGTGATAGACATCGTTAGTATATCGGACGGTGAAGACGACGCCGATGATGACCGAAGTCACAGGCACCACCCACAGGGTTCCGACGTCCAGGTGATAGATCTTACCGGCGAGGATGACCATTCCCATTCTGCCAGTTCCCACCACCAGCGAAAGGACAGCAAGCTTCGAAGGCAGCGAACCTCGGTCAACCAGCAGAAGCCCAAAGACTCCGGATCGGCAGCCGATGGGTCTTCATCCCTTTCGCCAGGTGGTGCTGGCTCCAGCAGCGGTAGTCTGTTGATGGAAACCTCGCTGATGATCATCGGTCCCACGCCGGTGAGTTCACCTACCAAACAAATGCAACAATCAACCCTCACGGTACCGATGACCACACCGCTGGACGGAGCACCGAAGTCGTCCGCTGGTAGTGGTACGCTGCTGACAGTGCTGCCAACACAATCAACCTCGTCCACGTCCGCCTTCGGAGCGATCGTAGCTCCCAGCATAAACAACAACCACACGCAGGTGCCCGGATCACTATCACCGCTGCCGTCGACCTCGTATCTACCCAGTGCGGCAGCGTTCATGTCCCACATTTCCCCCCTGACGCCACCGTACACTTCCGGTCACATGCATAACAACAGTAGCAGTAGCAGTAGCAGCTATCTCCTATCACCACCGCCCATGGGCGGCGGAGCAGGCTCGGCCATTTCTTCCCCCAGTCCCAATCAGTACGATCCGCTCACGCTAGGTACCAACACCGTCACCACGACATCCCCATTGCTACAATCATCACCATCAGCCGCGACCACTACCAAGAACGAACCGGAACTAGTGTTAAGTCCAGCGAAATTAGGACAGTAGGCTATTACTATACACAATATATAGAGAAAGAGAGACAGAGAATTTTTTCCTATGAAACTTATTAGAAGAAAACAGCAAACAGGTGCAGAACGGGCAACGCGAACAACAACAACAACAACAACAACCAAACCGGAAACCGCAGCACAATCGAGCAAACGAGAATTGAAGCAAAACCGGAAATGATAAACTCCAGCTGACGAATGTCAGATGGAGAAGCAGAGTGTAGGAGTTGGGGGCGATATTTCCACCAAAGTGGAGAACCTCCCGAAGACCAATCAAATGATCGGATGAGACACATTTCTAGGGTTTCGTTGCAGCAGGTGTGGGCGGGAAGTTTGGTTAAAGTAAACCTGCTTCAAGGAAAGCAAAAAAGCATCGTAGCTTTTACTGAATTGAAACTGGCCAATGGTGAATTTTCTAAGGTTATGCAGCCCTCTTTTACATGAGTGATGCCCATCCTCAAAATACAACGCTGTGATCTCCAAAATACTGAACCGTATGAATAAAGAAAGTAAAGTCTCCCGTGTTTTTCGTTTGGGGAAAGTAAAGCAATCTCTTTTATTCATACGACCCACTGTGTTTAGGTGCACAATAGTTTTTGTCGAGGTTTTATAAGGGCAATCTATTAATTTTCTTACAATTGCTCACGAGTATTTATGAGCATGAGCACGAAAAATCGTCCATGGTTCCTACTCCATTGATGCCAGATTACCCGAGATTTGATCTGTTCTCCGTTCGACGGGTTTCAGTTGCATATTTTTTTCTGGCAGCACTTTTTCTCTGGCTTCGCAAATGTAGCTTCTCATCACTGCTTACTCGCGACTCCGGTTTTGTGGTTCGAGCAGCGATGCCAGATATACCGATTTCCGAACTAGATACCGATGTACAGATGAGATTCCTCAGAATACCGATTTTTGAAATTGTATACCGATTCATAGCGATTTTTTGAATGATTAAAATTATGTTTGCCTACCCACGCTCGAATTTCGGAGAAAATTACTGTGAGAGACTTGCATCTTTTTGAATAACCTAAAATTTTGGAGCCCTCAAAATTCTTAAAAAAAATCATCTTTGAAAATGTCATATGCTTGATACTCTTTTGACTAATGTTTTCATTTCTTCACCGTTTTTGGCTACCCATGAATCGAGAAACTGCCGATGGCTCTTTCCGGTTATTCTTATAGAATCGCGAAATACTTTTTAAACATTATTTAACTTTCTAAAGTTTTTGTTCATATTTTACTTCCTGAATTTTCTTCTACCTTTTGCCTGGAATTTTCTTCTACCTTACACCATAACTTAATTTTCGATTCCTCCCGAAAACTTATTTCAACTTCCCTTGGAAGCTTCTTCAGCCATCGCCTTTGTTTTCTCACACCATTTTTTTTTTTTTCAACTTCCCCTGAACTTCAGGGATGTTTCCAGATGTTTATTGCGGATTCACACTAGCTGCAGGAACTTTTAAGAAGTTCTGAAACTTCGTAAAAGTCTAGATTTTTGAGTAAGTTGCGATAAATTAAAGATAGTTTCATTAACTTCTGTTCAAATTCCAAAACCCGAAAATTTCAAGAAAAGTCCAGCGAACTCCAGTGAACCTACGAAAATATCAGAAACATTTTAAAGAATTTCCAAGAAACTCAGGAAATGTTCCATAAATTTAGGAAACGTAAGGGAAGTTACATGAACATTAGAACATTTTATGTGAAACTCCGTGCTTTTTATTGGCAGTGCCATGAATTAAAATTTTAAAAATCGGGAAGATCAGCAATCTTCAATGCTAATGATACAATAAATTCAAGAAAATTATGTGAGCACGTCAAGAAAGTCCAGATACCTTCAAAGATGATTATATATATTCAGGTAGCCTCATTATAATCAAGGAAGTTCCGAGTATGTACCCATTAACTTCAAGAAAATTACAAGAACTTTTAAGAAATTCCGTGGAATTATGGAATATTCCTACATGCATTTCAGGAATGTTCCGAAAACTTCAGGGGCATTGAGGGGGTCTTCAGGGATGTTTTATGAATATCAGGAAAATTTGCTGGATCATTAGAACATCTCCCAGAAATCTCTTTCTTCCGGAATTATGTCCTTGTTTCTTTCGACTGTTCCGAATTTCTCCCAGAAGTTTCTTGCAATCTGCCTTAGGGTCTGCCAGCGTCTTAGGAAGTTTCTTCCGTCTTCTTCTGGAAGTGTGTCTTTTTTTTCCTTGATTTGTTTTCCGTCGATCTTGATTTCCGTGCTGAGCACCACAATGCTACCGACGCCAGGGAGGCAGCTCCCACACCACTACCTATCGACCCATCAACTCATGAACCGGGGACCAACGGCTTTACTTCCCTTCCAAAGGAAAGCGTGATCAGAGATGTTATGCCTCAGAACATCCCGGCGGCACCGACTGGGATTGAACCCAGGCCTGCTGGGTGAGAGGAAATCACGCATACCACGACACCACCGGTGCCGCTTCTAGAAGTGTGTCCATAAGCCATAGATTTTCGACTTTTATTGGAAGGTTTATGCGAACTTCTTCTGGCTTCCTCTAGAACTGGCTACTTCTGGAATTTACTTCTATTTTCCGAAACTTTTCTGGCTTTCTTTGGATGTGACATCCTATTTTTTCCGATGGTTTCTTTGAATATTCACTAGAAGTTTCTCAATTCTTGTCTTGGTAGTTCCCGGATGTTTCTCCGACTTTTCTTAGAACTTTTCTCAAATTTCTCCAGAAGAGCTTCTTTCTTTTTTCTCTGGATGTTCCTTCAGAAGCTAATCCTAACATTCCCCAAAGTTTTCTTTCAGAATTTTCCGATCATAGTCCAAAAGTTAAAATTTTCGCTTTCAAAAACAGCTAAATGTTTGAATTTATTTTATAAATTAAAATAGTAAATACCGATAAATACCGATTTATAAAAACCTTTGATACCGATTAACTTTAAAACAATCTGGCAACGCTGGGTCCGAGGGCAATATGGTGTTACACTGTACACAAACATCATCCTCTGATCGAATGAAACCGCAGACCATTCAAAACAAAACACCGAAATCGCTTTTTTGAATGATAGCTGCAACCGGATGACGGTTGTTTTGATATCAGATGATTTTCCTCTTATGGGAAGGGATAGGGCCTTCAGTTGAAATGCGTAATGCTCTGCAGAATGACTGTCATACTAAATGGAAATGCATATGGTATTGGTTCAGCCCCATAACGCAAATCATTCAAAACGATGATGTAAATAATTCTATCGAACGTCATTTGCTGATCTCAGCTGACAAACGAGGTGGAAGCATATGCATCGCTATCAGAGCTATTACGAACATAGGTAAAGGATGAAAACCAATGTTTGGCTAATTCGTGGTGGAGGAGGTTTTCTCCACGACGAAAATTTTGTATCCATAATGTAATGGCTTATTATGGCTATTCAGTATGGAATTGTAGATAATCAAATTATAAATCTAATTAAAAGCACTCACATGTCACCCTATTCTTAAATGTTTGTCCTCTGAGTGCCGTATGTTTTATAACTAATTTTCAAACGAAAATCATCCTGTATTTAGATGACAGTCATATGGATGTTCATCATCTGACGTCGAATTCAACCATTAGAAAATCATCCGAAATTCGAATGCATATTGTTAAAGGGCTCGAGCAATGCAATAATCATTCGAAGTATTGCGGATGTTTTGGTTCAGTGTAGGACACATGGTACAATGCACCACACGGTTAGAAAAAAGTACCCAAAATTAAGTTCTTTTCACTCATCTCGGCACTACAGTGCAGGAACCCAAAAGTAGGTAAAGTGGGTCAAAGTAATTTTCATTTACTTGTGTGCAATTCGTATGGAATTTTCCACTCGCTTTCAACCCAAAAGTAAGTTAGTTGTACCCAACAGTAGGTAAATATGATTTTACTCAACGTTGGGTTCCCACACTTTACAACCCTTGTTGGGTGGTTTTGCTCCTCCGTTTTTGACAACATTAGAAGGAGGAAAGGAGACAAACTAGTCAAAAGTAGGTAAAAGTGAACTGGCCGTTGGGTAATTTTTTCTAACTGTGCAGAGTCGATGTTATAACAACAATCCATACGAAACTAACGATTTTAAATTGGCTCACCACTTTAGTAGCCTATTGGTCCCAAGCAAACGATTAACGTACCCTATTCTAGTTGAAATTCTATTACTACACTATGTTTGTTTTGATTCGCTATGAAAGTTTGACAGATAACATCAGGGGTGTGTGGATTCATGCAGAACATGTAGGGGTGAGTGAAACAGCTTGGGACTGCTTGGGACCGTTGTTCTGGTACTGAGTGAGCCAAAAATAATAATGATTTTCTTCGGGACCCAGTGGTCTTAGAGTTACCTCTATGGTTATAATAACCCAAGTGACATTGCAGGTTTTATTGCGGTTTTATAGCATTCTACAAGTCTAAATCATGGTCTACAGAACCCTCATGAAACCAAAATTGTTACTTGGGAAGAGTCCCGCCAAGAGTGAAGCCAGAAGTACCAATCGAACTGTCAAGTATTGCATTCATTACTTACAATATTTTAGTAAGTTTAGAAAACATTTCTTCGCTTTATTTAATACATTGTGGTATTTATAAGTTATACCATGCACTTTTTCAGGTTCTATAATTATTTTTGTCTCCCAGAAGCTCTGTTATCGACATCAAATTTTCTACTTCTGAATGAAAGTCATCCGATGCTAACGCAAAAAATCTGGTTGCCGTTTACTCTGACGAAAAATATATCACAAACAGTGCTGCTTGTTCGCAACACTTTCTCTTGGCGGGACTCCTATTATGGTGTATTCCATTTATGGCCTATGGGAATGCCATAGGCCACAATTGGAACACATCATAATAGGAACGTATAGCCATAACTGGTACACCTAAACTACTTGACTTTTTTTTCAGATGTATTTATTGAACTCTATACATATAAAGATTTAAAAAATAAAATATTCAGAATCACGCACATCTAGAATTTTTAGATTCATAATACAATAAAAAAGGACGTGTACAAATTTTCAGTAAATTTGCCTTAGCTGACATCACACTGTTTGACAAGACGTCAAATATTCGGCAAATTTTGAAAAATACATTTGTCCAAATATTACTATGGCTAATATTTGGTTTGTATAAGTCATTCCATTTATTTGGCAATTTTTTAAAATAGTGTGATGGGCTTTTTTACCAAATAATTTATTTGATACTCTTGAAATTCTTGAGTAGCAAACAACATCAAATAATCGTCGCTTGCTGTGATCGTACTTCACCACTGGAATAGACGATTTATGTGATGTGAAACATCAATTCAAATGCATTTTTAATTGAAAAGCGAACTTCGCAGATCCTTTGGAAGTACATATGGACTTTTTAATCTTCCGGACAAGTTCCTTCAGAATCAATTCTGGATCAAGTCAAGTAGAGGAAAAAAATGATGCGATACGGAATACTATTTCACACGAATTTTATATGAGAAATCGAAAAGTAATAATTAAGGTCCCTCCCGGATGC